GTTTTGCACTCACTGTACATTAGAGTCTGCAAATAACGAATACAGACAGTCAATTTGTACACTTCTTTGGCATTTTATTTAGGAAGTAAGAGTTGTCAGGACAGCAAGCAACACTCACTGAGCTTCCATTCTCAACTCTACCCCTAACTGGCAATGTGATTTCCAGAACAATCTTTGTGTCTTGGTTGCCTTTACTATAAAATGAATGAGCTGAGCTATCTCCAAGGTCTCACCCAGATACTTCATGATTCAGAGTATGTTTACTTTTAAAAATCAGAGTTATAATTTTTATGGCATATTGTTGGTAATAGAAAAAATAATTTGCAGAGTTTATGTAAAAGACTTTTACACAGATTTAGGAGTAAGAGGTGAGGGGTGGAGGAGAGAGGTCATAGTTCAATTACTAAACAAAGCACTAGGCTAAGAACACTGATGGAAAAGTCAAGACTTAGTTTCCCCAAAGAAAAAACCTCCTCGTTAACCTACCAAAGACTGGCGTCTCCTTTACCATTTTCATCTACTTAGGGGAAAGGCATTTCATAGCCTCTCTAGAGCCCACAGGGTGGCTGCTCCTATTTTGGCCAAAACTCATCTTTGACAAGCACATACATTTTTGTGGTTTTGTAGGTGATAAAGGACTTTACAGGCCATGGGTTCTCTCCTGGGCTGTGGGGTATAAGCTGGTTCCAGGGCAGTTCTGATCTACCATGCATATTTAGCCCTCATCACACACACTGATCTGTAGTATTCCTCCCCTTTGACCTTGAGACACATGCTTTAAACTCTCTTCCATAAAGAATTTGTGCTGCCATAGCTTATGAAATAATTTAATACAAATATGTAAGTTCTCCACTGAATTCCAACAAACTCAGATCTCATAGAAAGGCACTTCTTACACATGTGAAATACTATGATAAATTTCTCAAGACAGTTTAGTTTATAAGCTTACCTAAGAAATATAGATGCATTGACTCGAAAATGCATTATTTTTTACCTCTTTCCACGCCCTTAACTAGGTTCGAAGTCCTATACATGGCTCCTTTAAATGAATCTTAAGTTACCTGATAACAGGAAAACAGAATACTCCTCTTAGACGAATTATCAATAGCTTACACAAAATTAAGCCGAACATAAATGACTATCCATTAACAATCTTTTCTTGCTTTCTTATATTAATGTTCAACAGTCAGGATCTACTCCAGTACTTACACTGTTGAAATCTTATCTACTTGTTAAAGAGAGAAGGCTTTACAAACACTCCATAACTACCCGCTCTGGGGAAGGTCCTAAAAGTGGGAAATCTCACATTTGCCCATGTTCAATATCAGGTGTGTTTCAGAGCAGGGTAAGCAGAACAGGCAAAGGGACCGAAGGGTATCTAAGTTCCTTTGGAGTTATGTCTCCAAATTGCAGATTTTATTATTTAGCAAATATTGTATTGTTTTCCTCACCAGAACCACCCATACAAGTAAACTGGAAAGTTAAGTTTCAAAAGAAAAGTGTTTTGTTCTAATTTGTCAAGGTAGATTATTCCCACATCTGATCTTTAACAGACGGGTTGTCAACAGTTATCATAAATTATAGACTCAAGAACACTTAAGGCTAGTGTAAAGCATAAAAATATTTTTTAACCATTAGCCATCAATATGAAAATTTTCTTTAAACTTATATAAATAGGTCTGGAATAAAAAAGTAAAGCTTGTTTTGAGAAATCTAGAGAAGACAACTGTGACCCACAACTGGCTGGTCCTAAAACCTTACCTGATAGACCCAAAGCTGGCCGTCAGCGCCCCCGCATGCTCATTTAGGTTGGTGAGGAGTCCAGGCTGAGAAGGGAGGAATCCTCTCTGACGATCTGCCTGCCTTCAGCCCCTATTACTCAGGGATGCCTCATGATTCCAGGAAGTGAAAAAAAAATTGGTCATCCTCTAAATTAGGATTAGGGCTCTAATCTTAAAGGACAGTACAGGCTGTTTGGGTAGGCAAAAAAAAAGAAAGCTTCCTGATTTTAAAAAAAGATTGAAATAGAAGGGGAAATGGACTATTTTTCTAAAAATTCCAGGGTGCTATTTTAACTTCTGTGCTTCATGATTCTAACACTGCTTTTGAAAGCTAAGGACAACTTGAGCACAATGTTAAAAAGATCAGACTCATGAAAATAAATATGTACTATATATAAATTTCAGGGAAATTCCAGAGTTAACTTATTTGCAAAGTTTTCATGTAGGGCGAGGGGGATTTTAATTTCAAGTTTTACATCAAAGATTTACCATCCATTAAATTAATACTGGAAAACACATAGCACCTTTTTGTGTAGAGTGCTAGGCAATATTCTATTTGAAATTACAGACTGTTTTCCCTTTGCACAAATTTGTTAAAAATTTACCACAGTACCAGTAACACAACTGTGTTGACAATATAAAAATAGGATTGGCTGAATAGAAACCAAATTTACAAAATCGAAGTTTGGCTCAGAAACTGTAGTGCAAGCTCTCAACGTGTTAGACTTGCCTATTCCTTCTAAATTTTAACTATAAAAGTGTTAGGGCATTCAGGAGTGATAGAGAACCTAAGTTATAAAGAGAACTAGAAAATACAGGAACAATAAAGATCTAAATCCAGGCAAAGATCCATTGGTCCCTTAGGAGACCCTGGGGGCGCCCAAAACTGAATCTAAATGTGTAAAGTCCAGGGCCCTACTGACGACGGGCAACCACTCTTGCTCTCGGAAACCGACCATTTGCAGCATAGTTTTAGAAGAGCAAGAGTTACTATTATTTTTGGTTTATAAAGGAACACATCTGCCTGAAGTAATCTAATGAAAAACCATAATCCATTTCTTCCCATCAGGCTTTGACTAAATACTGAAGCTAATTATGCTGGCATTTTTTGGGTTCTCACGGCATCATGGAATTTTAAAGAACACATTGAGTTCTATCACTTTATGCAAGACTGGGTGGCTTCCAAAACATGTATGTACTAAGATCTTAGCACCAGCTGACACAGAATGCTATACAAATTTCCTTTAGATGGTTAATTAAGACCTTTTGACTTAGAGATACAGGTAACATGGATCTAATAGGGAGAGATATACAGACTGTTAATACACTGTTCTGAACTGCTGCTACTGTCTCCCACTGTTGCTACTCTATAAGCACTTTTAATTACTACTGGTCAGTACCAATAGCTTTTTAATATCCATGCATCTTTAGCATTTAAAATAATTTTCTTGGACAACTGTGATCTGTACTAACTGGCAGCTCACAGGAATTTAGAGGCATGAAATGCGTGAATTACAGTGCTTCAAACTTAAGGGAAACACAAGCAGATGCAGATGTGGGGTTAATTTCTCTATGGGATATTTTTAAGGGAGCTGGCAGGAGGGGAGGGAGATATTTGGTGAGAAGTAGAGCCTTTTTCTACCTTCCTGGTTTGGTAGCCCTGTCAGGATTTCGTGGAGAAGGGAAACTGCCAGCCAGAAGTTGTCAGGGAGAAGTAAAATCCACTCCCAAGTCTGGGAGTGTTCTATGCCTGAGGAAGGGTTTCAAAGAAGCAGAAAGGCTGATGGACTTGAAAAGAAGCCAGCTACACAGGAAGGAAGAAGACATTCTACCTTGGGTAAACTGCAAGAGACCCAAATCTACTTGAACTTGCTCAATTACAGCTTAGCCAAATTCATCTGGTCTTATACTAAAGTCACAAATCGTATGACCATCAAGATGCCTCCAATCTGCCGTCATTCAAGCTAAATACCTCTTTACCACCTCAACATTCTGTTTACTCTCTGAAAATGGGATCAGGAAGATTCTTTTCCTGATTCCTACCCAATGTTGAACCACAAAACTTATTTTCACAGATCTGTGAAACTTACACAATGACAAAAATATTACTTCCATTTATAACGTATTTTAGAAATCTGAATCAAGATTTGGGATGAAATGCTTTCAATATGGTTCCTACAGCTCTTGGATTGTGTAAAATCCAGGCTGGCATAATTTCACATAGGAGAGTCGTTGTGGAAGGAGGCATGTCCGCAGAGAGCCTGGTGCCAGGTGACCAGGAGAATGTCTGGGCCTGGAGTCCAGACTCAGTCACTAACTGGTTCTGGGCTCTGGGCCCTTCAACTTTCATCTTTAATATGACAATCAGAAATGATCTTTAAGGTCCTCTTTATCTTCAAGCTGGTCATGAACTAACCACATGTTACAAGTTCTGTCAATTCTGAGAAAGAAACTATGAAAGACATATCAAAGTCCATATTTATCCTAGATTAAGTTTGTCATCATTGTGCAGCTGTGGAGGCAAACCTGTTGCATCACATGAAATACTCTTTTTCTGACTGTATACTAGAAATCCAAGACGCAGTAGGCTGGCTTTTTATAATTTTCATTTTTTAAAAAGTAAACAACAGTGTGCCCCCTATGATAGAAAGTTCTCAAGTTTCACTGTCATAGGCCGTAAGTACACACAGGCTGTAAGTACACACAGGATGTCACCTGGCAGAATGGGGCCAGGAGACTGCACGCCGGGGGGGTGTGCTAGCTCGCAGTTAGAACCTCTTTATCACGCATGATTGATGCTTTGCATTTACGTTCAAGCTTCACTTCAAAGACACATCCAAGCCCTATTAGAGGCTGTTTGGTACCTTCACTGTCAGTGTTTTCAGGGACGATTAAACGTATATGGGCCAGTGAAAAAGGAGGTTTGCACGCCACCTGCCCACGTATTTAATACCTACCATGCATAGTGCTTATGCTCACCAGAGTGTGCCTGTTAAAAGCAACGGGATCAACCTCAGATCGTAACTGGCCACATCTACTATGATACTACAATACCGAGAAAAGGAAAATGCAAAAGCCTTTAACACGGCACCTGGTGGAAGTGGAAAATCTCCACGGCCCCCTACACTGTACTGTTGCAGTCTTAAGAGTTTCAAAGGTCTGTCGTTTCTCCCGGAACACACGGCGGGCGGGGAGGGATTTCTAGGACGATGCACTCACCTCTTTGATCTTTTCTCTCTTCTCGCGGATGGAGGGGTCGGCCGGCTCCCGGCTAATCGCCCCGATGGGGGGCAAGAAGTCCACCCGCGGTAGCCCCCTGAACACCGCCCTGTCACGCAGCTGGTCCCGGGCCACCTTCTCCTTCTCCAGCAGGATGTCTCTTTGGATCTCCTCGGGCAGCTTCTGCAGGGTCTCCTTGGCTTCCCTGAGAGCCCGCTCGTGGTTTTCGCGGATACTGGCCAAGTTGTCCTCCAGGGCGGCCGCCGGGTCCCCGGGCGCGCCCTCCTCGCGGTGCCTGGCTCGCCCATCTGCCGCGTCCTCGGCGCGCGCCCCGGGCCCGGGCTTGTGGTCGGCGGGCGGCTGCAGGGCGGGGCTGGAGTGGAACAGGACCCCGCTGAGCAGCTTGGAGGAGTCGGGCAAGAAGAAGATCGCCCCGAAGCAGAGCGTGATGAAGGCGCTGAACACCAGCAGCAGCACGAACTTCTCCGTCAGGCGGAAGGCGGCGGGGCCAGACCCCTTCCTGCCGCCGCCGCCGCCGAGCCCCCCGCCCAGGCCGCCGCCCCCGGGGCTGCTGAAGAGCGGCAACAGGCCCCCCATCGGCATCGCTCCCGCCGGGCGGCCCGCTGTCCAGTGGCCCTGCGCCGCGCCGCTCAGCAGCCAAACTTCGCCGCCGCCCGGCGTCAGCGGCTGCGGGGCTGGGTCCTGCACATCCGGGCCGCCCAGACCCCTCGGCTGGGCGGCAGGTATCCCCAGGGGCAACAACTCCCCTCCGGGTCTTCTCCCCTGGGCGGCTCCTTTGGCAAACAAGCACGCGCGACAGACCGCTGGCTGCAGCCCTGCGGGGAGAGAAACAGTGAAATGTAGTAATTACGATGCTGGTGATAAAGTTTCCCGCGGGTCTCCGCCCGCAGACGCCGTGCGAGCAGCCAGGACAGCTCCTCCTGCGCGGAGTCCAGCTCCAGGCACCGCCCTGGGAGCCCACTCTTTGGACTTGGGGTGAAGTTTCCAGGTCCCGGGGGGCGGGGTGTCCCGCGCACACCTGGAGCAGGGCGGCGTGCGGGCGCCTCCCGGAGAGGGCAGCGCACCTCTGGGCAGCAGCGGCGCAGCGTGGGTGGGGGGCTCGTCAACTTCGCCCGCTCTCCATCTCCGAGCTGGACCAGCTGCCTCTGCTTCCCAGGCGGCGGCTGAGCGTGCAGCCCGGCGGCCCCGCAGCCCGGTGGCCGCTCAGCTGGGCGAGCGCGCCGACCCGCGGGCGAGCAGGAGCGAGCAGGACAGCACGACGCCCTCCACGGCGGCCCCGCTAGCACTACTGCCACTGCCGGTCTCGGGGCGGTCGGAAACGAGGGCGGTGACGCGTCCGGAGAGTGATGGCGCGGCCGGGCCAATCACGCGCCGCTCAGGGGCCCGCGGGGGCGGGGCCGGGGCCGGGAGGGGGCCGCGCGGGGCGGGGAGCTTACGGGAATCGCAGGCTCCCGGGGGCCCGGCTGGGGGCGGGGGGGCGCCGCGGCGGGGAGGGCGGTCAGACCCGCGGCCCAGGGTTCGGGGCGGATGAGGGGGTCAGGCCCACAGAGTTTATCCCGCGCCGGCGTCGGGCCCGGGTGTCAGGGGACGGTGGGTCTCGAGTTGCCGGGGGTCGCCTGGGCTGACACGGGACCCCCTTCCCCCGCTTCTCCCCAGCCGCCTGCCAGCCCGTCGGACCCCTGCCCGGCCTTGCGGGGCCCGCCCCGAGGGGGTCCCGGGAAGGGCTGGGTCTCGCAGGGACCCGCCGGACACTGGGTCTTTCTGCAGCCCGTCTTTTCTCCAATTACCCTCCTCTCTGCCAAGACTGGGATTTCCCGGGTGGCCCCTTAGCAGTTAAAGCAAAAGTCCCTCGATGGGGAGCTGTGATCCGGTCTAGCATCTTTTTACCTCCTAAGAGACTTACGGTTTTGTGGTCGCTTAGGATTCTTCGTATGCATGCTCTCCTCCTTAAAAAAAAAAAAAAAAGTGTACCTCCCCCACCCACTTCCACTTTCAAAATTCATCTACCTCATAGAAGTTGGTCAAATTTTCCATTTAAAGAAGACAGTTTTAAGCTGCCATAGCTTCAAGTAATAAATTTGAACACTGTTGAAATGAAGTTTTGGATTTGACTACTTCCAGTGAAGTGAGGACTTGATCCAACAGGGATTGTTTGCAAGACAGCATTATTTTCCAAAATGTGTTCCTAATTCCCCTATTGCTCTGCGACTAAAGGGTTATCAGAGGGGAAAAATTCGATTGACTTTCCATTTCTGAAAGATGGTTTACAGCAGCCTCATCGTATCCCTCACCCTTCTCTGGAAACGTGGTTTTAGCTCTGTTTCTGCTTGTTGTCAAAGGAAACAGCTGGCACCTTTCAGGAAGGTGCCCACAATAACAGTTGTTTTCAGGTGTTAGACTGTATGAGAAAATGTAAACCAAATAAAAAAATCCTTATTACAGTTTTCCTTTAACTATTCATTTTAGCCATCATTGTTTGTTTTGTGTAAAGGAAACATCCAAAGTTTCTGTTAATGCGAAATTGTTTGATAAAGCCGACTTTATGGCTTAGTTATTTTGATAACTGCTGTGAAATTCTATGCCCAGAAGAGTGCAGCATATTCAAGCAGGGTAACAAAGTTTAGAAGCACTGAAAAAGAAAACAATGAGTATTTTAATGATGGAAAGGTAATTTTTGTTTCAAACTGCATTTGTTAAGTTGTCGATAGGCTGAAAAATTTGAATGGTGAAATAATATTGTTTGTTTCCATCAATAGCCTTAAAATTGAGTTACCCTATGGATAGATATATAGATAATAGCTAGATAATAATTGGGGTCGATTCCCCTAAAACCCAATCTCTTTATGATCTTTCCCAGAATGATTTGTTACTTTATTATGTTTTAAGAATAGAGTTATTTCTTATAGCCTCAGAAATATTTAGACTTTAATTTTAAATTAATATTACTAAGTATTCCAGAAAAGCAATAAAATCTACTTCTAAGTACATGTTAAAATGGTGATGAAAGGAAGTTATGAACCTAATTCTGTTTCTGGCACTCTTTAATTTTGATACAGGACCAGTTTGGGCATTTAACCCATCGCCTATAGTGGAAACATTCAAAATTAAGCCTATGGGCTTAAAGATGATTTTTTTTTTTCTAAAAGCTTTAAATTTGATTTATCTATATTGTGTTTAAATCTTTTAAAGTGACTACTCTATTTCTGTTCACCTTTATGAAGCTTATGTTAAGATTTTCTTATTACTTGTATTTCTTATAAAACAGAGGCTTATTATGGGTGAAGCCTAGCTTTAATGATTTATTAAAGGAGAAATTACCATGAGTGGTTGATTATGGGATACGTATTAGAGAGTGCCAGTCTCTGTTAGGTAGGATGAGAAAATATGTGGGAGTGCTCATATTTGCGCTAGAACAAGTTAAAAAAATTCACAAAGAAGGTATTTGAAAAGACACACCAACTAAATTAACCACACAAAGCCCTGTGTATTCATGGCAAGGGAGAAATACAGAATGGTCAATCAGTAAAAATGTGCATTTTGTAGAAGCAAAATCTGATGCTTTACCCTGATTTCAGTACGACAAGCACTTCACATTCTTCAGTTGCAAAAACAATGCCTTGAATCCTGAGATAAAAGCAAAAATAAAGGTGACTGGCTCTGGTTCCCAAATAATAAAACCTTGCTATGTTCCATAAATCCCCACCCGATCCACCTGAAGGTATGTCATGATCTTTGTGAAGACAGCAATTGTGATAAAGTTGCTGTTTTCTCAGTATGAATAGTTTAATGTAAACTTTGCGACCTTAGTAATTTTGTGCAGTTTTTCTGTTTAAACCCTTGCTGTGTCTTCTTATTTGGCCAGCAAGTCCTGAAGTATGACTCCCTTGTACCTTTTGCAAGTTTGCTTGCAAACTTAATTCTTATTTTTTCTTTTTCCAGTGCTTATATCTCTGTATCTTTCTTTGACAATTTGTAAATTTTTATGTTTTGAGGTAAAATCTTTAGAATGAAGTAGTTTTTTTAAACCTTGTTTTGGTTAGAGATATCCCCCCAAAAGTACAAAGAAATCTTCAATTTATTTGGTTGCTTGGGTTTCTCTGGTTTTAAAATAACATTTAACAAAGGGTAGATTTAACTTTTACATTAACGTGCCTAATATTAAATATAGTAATAATTATAAAAAGGGTTACAGAGGGAAAAGTGACAATATTTTTGTAAAAACTGTGGTGAACGAATATTTTTATAAAGTTGTAAGTTCTCAAAAATTAAAGTGTAAAAACATTTCTTAATAGGAAGTTTCTAGAAGGTACTAGATAGAATTTTATGGAAGAATCCTTTTGAGAACTTTTGCTCTTTGATTTAAAAATAAAAAGTAATCAAATAAAAAATGAATTTAACATATATGTGTAATAAATAACTACTGAAATTGTCCAATATGTTGGATTTCTGATAAAATCTTCCTGTAGCCAATTTTCTGATTGTGTTCAAATTCCAGGTCTGGAATAGGTTTTTGCTTTTATTTATTTTTTATTTTTTTTCGGGGAAGGATTTGTCCTGAGCTAACATCTGTTGCCAATCTTCCTCTTTTTCTTTTTCCTCCCCAAAGCCCCAGTGCATGGTTGCATATCTTAGCTGTAAGTTGTTTTGGTTCTTCTATGTGGCCCACTGCCACAGCATGGCAATTGACAGACAGGTGGTGTGGTTCCATGACTGGAAAACGAACCCGGATCACCAAAGCTGTGACCACTGAACCTTAACCATTAGGCCATCAGGGCTGGCTCTGTTTTTATTTTTAAAAAACAAAAATGTAACATGCAAGCAATAGTTTGCTGTGAACAGTAATCTTGAAATTTCAATACTTAAATGGGCAACTCTGAATTTTACATGAAGTTTATGAAGAGGGGAGTTAACTAAAGTTTCAAAATAAACTGTTAACAATATTTGTGGTCATATGATGGGCTACAGTCATATCTCTTTTTTCCCCCCTCTCAATTTCTTTTGGAACTGCCCGAGTAGCAGATTATTTTTATAGAACTCCAATCACCTTTGTGTGTGTTTTTTTTTGTTGCCGAGGGGTGGCGAGGAGAGAGCCTGAATCGAGGAGTCCATGAGGAGTCCATGGGTGCTCTCTGTTTTCCTTCTGAACACTCATTTCATACATAGTAGCAGTCCCGAACGTAAAAACATTGTGTCCCACAAAATATTTGTGCATTGGCTCTTTGGCACTTTCAGAGCGCTTCTCTGCATAGAAACAAAGTTGTCAATGGTGTTTGGCTTGCTGGTCTGTTCTACAAAGATCTAAGACCCTAGAGAAGAGTAAAATGTTGGGGAAAATGCCATTGCAATGCTAGTAATCAAAGTAGCATTAAATTAGAAAGTGTTTTGTTTGTCTTGAATGTTGGGGCCTCAGGACAAACATTTATTTGGAAGAAAAGGAGATATAGTGATTGTTGCAGAAAGCTTCTAAACCAACTTCCAAGGTCACAAAGGTTTATGAAAGTTCTTAGGCGTAGTTTTCCTTTACCAGGTGTAGTTTTCTATTGCTACTACCTTTATGATATTTTTGTTTTTGTTTTGTTTTGATTTGATTAACAAAGGGGTTGAAAGAAAGTAGCACAACGAGAGGTTTTCCTGAGGTAACAGGGCAAGAATTTGAATAAGAGAGCTATTTATTATAGAGAACACGCATGTCCTTGGCTGTGTGACCTTGGGTGATAAGTCACCTATTTTCTGTATCTCTCATTCTTCATCTGTAACATTGCTGTGGCTCTTAGGTTAAATAATATAAGCTAACATATCTGGCACAATAGTCATTCAAGAAATGTAAGTCAATTTCTCCCCTCCTCTAAAAGGGTGTTAATGTCAGTGGGGAAAGAACAGTGTCTATAGGATTCTTATAAGGAAGAAGCAGAAAATGGTGACAGGGAAGAAATTTTGGATTATGGTTGTCACCTTCAACTTCTGTCCTTTCTTTAGATAATATCTGCTTGAGAAGGAATAGGGGGAAGAGCCCCAGGTTTGGTAGGGAGAGGGTCCTACAGTGTTTCTCCACTCTTTATATAAGTAGGACCAAAAAGTTTACCAACTAACCAACGTTATGGGTCCTAAAGCCTTGAGAAAATGTGAGTGATGACAAAGTCTCAAAGTGAGGAGAATGATATTCCTGCTCAGTGCTTGGAGAATCAGGGCACCAAGGATTCACGGCGGAAAGGCTGGGCAGAAAATGCCAACAGGGGCACCTTTAGGAGCCCTTGTATATAAAGTGTTTGAATTTGATGACTT